AATATATATTAAGTATCAGGACAGGCCTGGTTAGGGAAGCAGAAGCTTGGTGGCAGATAAGCATGTTATCTATCATTTGTAAAAGTGAATAACCTTAGATCTAGTCAAATAAGTAGCTTAAGCCTCAGAAACCACCTAAGACAGAAGCAACTGAGATCCCAGAGGTAAAAACTGAAGCAGAATTTACAAACTTGCGACCCACAGACTGGGTTTGGCTTGTAGGTATGTTTTACATGGACTGCCTCAGGGTTAAAAATAAGTTAGATGAGGAAAAGACTCTGTATTGTATGTATGATACCATAATGATAGATATGTGTCATTATACATTTGTCCAAACTCATAGAATGCATGACACCAAGAGTGAATCCTAACATAATCTACAGGCTTGGGTGGTTATGATTAAGTAGATTCATCACATGTAACGACCATATCACTCTGGTGGGGATATTGATAAGAGGAAAGGTTGTGCATCTGTGGGGGCGGGAGGTATATGGAAAATCTCTGTACTTCCCTCTTAATTTTGCAGTGAACCTAAAACTCTAAAAAAACCATAATCTTCAAAAATTGCAAAAAAAAAAAAAAAGAAATGATTGCTAATATTTTAAAATCAGTTACTTGTGTTATGAGTTGAATTGTGTTTCCCAAAAATGCAGGGATTGAGGCCTAACCTCTGGTACCTCAGAATGGGATCTTATTTGGAAATAGGTGCAGAATGTCGTTGCAAATGCAAGTAGTTAAGGGGACATCATACTGGAAGAGAATGGACCCCTAATCCAGCCATTAAAATAGGGAAATTTGGACACAGACATGCAGACAGGGAGAATACCACATGAAGATGAAGGCAGAGATTGGGGTGATACTTTCTACAAGTCAAGGAATGCCACGTTTGCCAGGAAACCACCAGAAGCTAAGAGAGAGGCATAGTACAAATTCTTCCTCGTGGTCCTAAGAAGGAACCATTACTGATGACACCTTGATTTCAGACTTGCAGCATCCAGAACTGTGAGACAGTAAATAGCTCTCGTTTAAGTCGCTTAGCCACTTAGCCAGCAGCCCCAGGAAACTAGCGCAAGTCGCATATAAAAACTCTGGGTTTTCAGCATCTCTGAAAAATGGCCAGGTGTGACAACGCTCAGCTGATCAGCTAGAACAGAGTAGTGGCTATCCCATATCCATTAGAAGTTCTGCAGTTCACCAAAGCCCCAGCCAGTCCATTTTAATAATTTAAGTTGCCTGCTTGGTGTCTGATACCACATCAAAGGAAAATGGGTCAGGACATTTGGAAGAACCTAAATAGACATGTTGTGACAATACGATGTCTTGTGATCTTTGAAAGCAAACAAAGTAGGAAGTATCTGAGTGTAAAGAAAAGAAAAAAAAAAAAAAAAGAAAGGAAAAAAGGCTACCCAGGAAGTTTTCTGATAACTTCAAAATTTAAATAATTCTTACAAGGATAAAAGGAAAAACATAAAATCAGAAAGAAATATGGAAAAGTCAAATGCAACTGTTCTAATAATGCCATGTAGGATCCTCAGAACCCCTCAACTGAGATTTTTTTCAGAACAAGAGGAAGACAGAAAGGGTATCTTAACTGCCTGAGGGAGTTGTTAGCGCTGAGAGAAATCTCTGGAAAAAGCACTACAGACAAGATAGAAAGACAGGACACCAGAGAGATGTGCATCTGCTTAGAGGGGATGTTTCTCCACTTAAGCTTCACTTTGAACAAGTTCAAGCCATGAAGTCAAGACAAATTACATCCCCAGATTCTTTTTTTTTTTTTTTTTAAAGATTTTATTTATTTATATGACAGAGAGAGACAGCGAGAACAGGAACACAAGCAGGGGGAGTGGGAGAGGGAGAAGCAGGCTTCCTGCTGAGCAGGAAGCCCGATGTGGGACTCGATCCCAGGACCCTGGGATCATGACCTGAGCCAAAGGCAGACGCTTAACGACTGAGCCACTCAGGCGCCCAACATCCCCAGATTCTTAGAAATATTCATCACAGGAGCACCGCTGATAATCTTGGAGGAATTGAGGCAATGAGAAGAATCCAAAGGTTGGAGATGGACAGTAATGTTGCTGTGCTCAAAGAAAGAACCATGGGAAATCTTTAGAAAATATAGACAATATACCTGATAGCAATCCCTAAAAAAATTAAATAATTATGACTCAAATGTGTTTTGAAAATTAAGTCAGGTAACAACAGAAGCACGGACTGGGGTGGGGGGGCGGGTAGTGATCCTCCTCCCACCACCTTGTGCTCCTCTCACTTTTGCAAACCACACTAGGCTCTTGCTTGTTGCTGAATACACCGAGCATGCTTCTGTTTAACAAGCCTTGGCATCACCCGCTTGTTCATTCTGGAACACTCCTCCCAAAGGTGTCAGCAAACCTTGCACCCTGCTTCTTTCGAGGTCTTCCCTGGTGAACCTGTGTGATGTCGCTGCTCCCCACTCGCCTTCTCTATGTCCTACCCTGGCTTTAGTTTTCTTCACAGCACTTATTACTGTCTTTTCCTTATTTCATAAATACGACATCATGCCAGTCACTCTTGTAGACGCTTTTAAAGTATTGACTTGTTTAATCCTCTAATAACACTAAGAAGGAAATACTAGCATTATCCCCATTTTACCCTTGCTCTTGGAATAAAATGTGGCACATTGTAGGTGCTCAATAAACCATTTTGTTAAATGAATACGATGTAAAGGTAAGAGGTTTGCAAGGCAAGAGTCTTTCCTGTAGGATAAGACCCTCCTCTTGTTGAGCATAGGGATTAAAGGCTATTAAGCTTTGAATCCCCGGCATCTGGCAGAATGCCTGGATGTGTAGTGAGAGAACAGAGGGAAGAGAAGAGCTGGAAAGGAAGCTGGAAATGTGAGGTACTTGGCGGACATGAGCTGGACTAGCTCGGCATTTCCAAAGCCTGAGGGAGAAGGTTCATCAGGAATAGCAGAGCTGTTCATTGTTAAAGGAAGACAGAGGTACTGTCATTAAATTTTGCAGTCAACTACTTCATTTCTGAGCCACAAATAACATTGTCTCTTATCAAAAAGGAAAAAAAATTAATGGTATAATATCCAGCATTGCCCATATCGGAGCCACTTTGCTAAGTGCCTTAAGGCCTACCAAAAAGCTTTAAAAACCTTCCAGCTCAGAACAGTCTTTCAAGGGAGAATCCTGATAGTCAAAGCGGAATCAAGGAGAAAAACCAATATCCACAGCAGAGGACAACAGTCTATGCAATGGCATCTAGTCCCACATGATCGGTGTCAAAAGGTAAACTGCGTTCAGAAGAGGGTGAGGTCCCAGTAGGCTGGCAAAATACGTGTCTGAAGACCTCTGTTTTTCATTAGCATAAATGCATGTCTTCATGAGTAAATCAACTTCAGTCCATCAACAAAAGATGGGATTACTAAAATAAATGAGTGTAAGGAAAATATTAATAACCAAATAGCATTACACGCCACCATAATCCTACCTAATGCCGTTAGTGTTTGAAAGAAAAACATTCAGATTCCTAATCTATTGGGGAATATTAACATAATGTGGCTTTGAAAATTTTAGAAAGACCTCATAATTAATTTAATCACCATTTTGCATAGCATTCCCACTTGTAATCTGCATTTTTGCTTTAAAACTCTTACTATATAGCTGTCATTGTGATCTAATGAAATGCCTCTTACTTAGGAAGAGAGGAGATTTTCAAATGTTGAGGCTCCACAGAAATGAAGAATGAAACATGTGTCTGTCAGTGCAATTTCCCCACGCTAGACTAATTGCAGAGGCCTGTGGGTATGGAGTGATGCTGCTGAGTAGTCAGCCTTTACTGCCATTGCTTTCAGGGTAATTTGCATAGCATGGCTCATAGTGTTTTATGATTTTTCTTTTAAAAATAATCCTACTTGTTAGTCACTAAATCTGCTTAACTCTTCCGGTGCTGCCTCGCGTCTGGGGCACATCTGCAGAGTGAGAGAACATATCTCGCCCTTGGCGAGCGCCAAGGGAATTGGAGAAGGGCATCCCAGCTGGCACAGTTCAGTCTCTCCAGCCTCTGGGAAGATGGCTGTTCGAGGTAGGTCTGCCGAGGAAGTAGGCCCTGCGGCAGGGATGAGTGTTTGGGAGCCTTCCTGGGGAGTGCTCATGGGATGAACACCTGTAGAAGAGGAGGAAGGAGGGGATTCGACAGAGGGAGGAGTTGGACTGCAGTGCAGTCTTCATGGAAACCTGGACCAACTCTCAGGAGCATCCTGAAGATGACACGGTGTCTCAGAGTTGACCCAAGTGGTGGCAAGAGGGCTGGGCTTTTCTACCCCCCGAACTGATCAGTCACTGAGTATGGGAAGCTCCAACAAGGGGCTGGGACACAGTCAGCTGAGGCAATCCGTGAGCATGGCCGACAGCTGAGGACTGTCTCCTGAGGACACTTCCAGCAGCTGGGGAAATGCGTCCTTCATTCCTGATGGGAAACTGATGTGGGTGTTGCATCACGGTGTTCGCCATAATCATCATATTTCTCCTAATAACAAAGGCTCAATAGGACTGAGCACCCGAGCACCAGGGTATCTCCTGCTGACTTTTGTGAGGAAGTCTTTCTGTGGAATATTATTCAATATTATCCAAGAATCTGTTCCCCATTGCCTAATAACTTAATATATCATGAATCACTGAAATAAGCCATATATAGAATTGTAATATAACAAATTGTTTATATATAAACTTAAATAATATAAAAGGTCTTTGGAAATTTTAGTCATTTGTCTTACCCATGAGAGAGATCAGATGATTTATATTACTGCAAGTTTATGTAGAAATACATCGATTTTTCTGTTTCAACCAAACTTAGGCACTGAAGCTGAGCATTTCCATGGTGTTTTGGATTGGAGATGATGTTTTTCAAGGGACTTACTCATTCATGGTCAGATTTTCCTGGTTATAATGTTTTAACTTCCTTGGACTTCACTGAAAAGAAGTTTGTATAGCCTTTCGGCCGGAACTGCCATCTTCCAGTAATTTGCCAAAATGACCAACACAAAGGGAAAGAGGAGAGGTACCCGCTATATGTTCTCTAGACCTTTTAGAAAACATGGAGTTGTTCCTTTGGCCATATACATGCGAATCTATAAAAAAGGTGATATTGTGGACATCAAGGGAATGGGCACTGTTCAAAAAGGAATGCCCCACAAATGTTACCATGGCAAAACTGGAAGAGTCGACAATGTTACTCATCATGCTGTTGGCATTGTTGTAAACAAACAAGTTAAGGGCAAGATTCTTGCCAAGAGAATTAATGTACGCATTGAGCATATGAAACACTCAAAGAGCCGAGATAGCTTCCTGAAGCGTGTGAAGGAAAATGATCAGAAAAAGAAGGAAGCCAAAGAAAAGGGTACTTGGGTTCAACTGAAGCGCCCCCCTGCCCCACCCAGAGAAGTGCACTTTGTGAGAACCAATGGAAAGGAGCCCGAACTGCTGGAACCCAGTCCCTATGAACTCATGGCATGATAAATGTAAAGAAAATAAAAGACCTCAAGACTGTAAAAATGTTTCTCTCAATTGAATAGAAGTGTGGTGTCCTTTCCCCCAAAAAAATATTTAAAGCAAACTTTGTGTCCTAAAAAAAAAAAAAAAAGAAGTTTGTATAATGTGAGACCTATTTCACCCTATAATTTTAGAGTTCAAACTTTCTACATCAATAAAATTACTGCTTTAGGAAATTTCTGAAGAAAACATGGGTGCACAGTTTTGAAATGACCCCTGAGGCGGAGAGGCATTGAATCTCCACGTGCTGTGGTGCACAGAGGGAATCTGCTCACTTCGTGCGATCTTCGCATTTGAGTCAAGGGGAAACACCTAAAGATACCACAGTCAAAGGCTTAGAACATGGCTCAGATTTAAACACAAACAAAGGGTAATCTGGCCTGGCACAGTCTGGCCACGGCAGCAGTGTATCTGAAGGTTATGTTTTATGTTTATTAGCTCCATCCAGATGGCGTTTTATGTCCTTAATAACTTTGTCCCTGACTAAGCCATGAACCTACCATTTGACAAACACAGTAGGAAATGTCTATCAGCAGAAATGTCATTTTATAATCAGAAACATCACTTGAACGATTTGGAATACATTTTGAAAGAGTTTGATTTCTTTTATATGTCATTGCCTACAGTTATTTGTTGACAAACACAGCTTTTCCAACACGAACTGAGATTCAGTGAGCACCTGGAAGGCCTTTAAAAGAGCTACATATTTATGCTAATATTTTAGATGAGTAATGGCTTACATGGTAAGAGATCAGACTGCTTTGATGCACATTTATTCATCTTTATGTGCCCACAAAAATTAGTGTATAGTACATATTAATATTCCAGTGTCACAACAGAGACAGAAACAGCAGGTCTGAGGTCATCCAGTGAATTTCCCGTCCTCTTGGTTTCTCCTGGCTCTGCACTCAGAACTCTCTGTCTAGATCAGCCTACACACTACATTTACACTTCTCTTTGGGAAAGATTCGTATCTTTTTTGTGACTGTCCTTTATGTCTGTGACTAAATTCTGCTTCCAAATTTCAACCTTCTTGTGGATAGCTGCTATGGACCCCTTATCTGTGCCTCTTTCAGAGCGCCGGTTTTAGACATTCCATACACATTTGTGGATTTTATTGAAATAATTCACTGCTTTTTTCCTTAAACTCTGGTCTTTAACTGCTTTGCAAAAAGTGGAGGGATGATTTTTAATGTCAAAAAAATTTTCTGCATTTACTCTTTTGCAAATTTCTCAGGGGAAACAAAAACTCTTATCTAGAATTTCTTTAGAATGAATTTAGCTTAGAAAAGTAGGAAAAACTGTGGGGTTTTTAATTTGTTAATTTAAAAATGTGTAGTGTAATTGATGCCATCGAATTTTTAATTTTAAATTCCCTCCTTCCTTTCCTTTTTTTCTTGCTTCATTTTTTGATTCAATAAACATTTATTCAAGTGTCTACTGTGGATCAAGAACCATGCTAGGTCCTATATAGGCACATAGTCATTTAAGAAAATTGTCAGTGTTAAAATTTTTCTTAAAGAGTTTTTTAAAAACCGTTTATTACATATTATAAAAATCTGTGGTGTGCCAAGCACTATGGTACCCATTTCCTACACTTTGCTTGCCTCACCCCTTTTTCTTAAACTTGGGAAGTTTCTGTCCTATATTTTCATAGTTCCTCACAAAAAAAAAAAATTTAAAACCTAATGAAGTGCTCTCATCACAGTTCATGGGAGCAAAACTTCCAATTATATTAACTTATTTTTAAAATTGTACTAAATAATAAAACACGATCTTTACGATTACTCCATAGTTGTCTGTATTTTAGAAAACTTCGCCTAGATCCTAAGGGACATGCTCAAAAATTATTTTAAGGGGCAAATTATCCTCCTGAGAACAGAGTAAAGAAATTTTCACACATTTAATTAGTCCACACTAGCCAGGATGCTTATGGAAGGATTGAGGTTCAACTCTAGGAAATAATGGCTACAAAGAGAGATTCGAAACATGGCCATGTAGTAGGAAGTACATTTAAAATCTCCCACACTAGAGATGGCTGGGGAAGGACTAGGAATGTGACGTCCTCACAACGTGTACATCATCTTGACTGCAAGATGAGTTCCTTCCCATTTATGCTCCTTTGTAGCTTCGTCTATGATTTAGCATTGACTGATGTTTAAGAACTTGTGGATAGCTGCTGTTTAACAAAATTTAGGAGAGTAAACAACTTGAAAGTCTTTGGTGGAGAGTGACTATGCTCCTGTACCCATTTCCAAGGTGTGGGTTTTTTTTCCCCACACCACCAGTTCTGTGACATCAACTGGGTGTCCTGCAGTCAACTCAATTCTGATGTTACCTACCTGGAGATAGCCTCAGATCCCAGAGATTAGGGGCTCAGTCCCACAAGACTGCCATCCACTTCAGGTGCCAATCAAGTCTAGGCTGCCACCTGTGCTTCTGACCAGACGGACCAGCCATAGATTGGAGGTTTTGACACCCATTCTTGGGTTCAATTAATTTGTTAGAGTGGCTCACAGGACTTAGAGAAACGTGGTGCTTACTAGATTCCTGGTTTATTATGAAAAGATATCTCAGGAGCAGCCAGATGGAAGAGATGCCTAGGGCAAGATATGGGGAAAGGGCGAGGAGCTTCCCTGTTCTGAATACGCCACTCTGTACATGTTCACCAACCGGGAAAACTCTCCCAATCTCATCCCTTGGGGTTTTTATGGAGACATCATTACACAGGCATGATTGGTTAAACTGGCCATTGGTGATTGATTCAGCCTCCATTCCTTCTCCCCTCCCAGAAGGTCAGGGGTGTGGGATTGAAAATGCCAATCATCTAATCACATGCCTACCCCCATCCTCAGGTACCTTGCAAAAGTCATCTCATTAACATAACAGAAGGCACCTTTCTTGCTCACCTCACTGAGGAAATTCCAAAGGTTTGGGGACTCTATGCCTGATACATAGGGGGACAAATACCAAATATATATTTCTTCTTATAAGTCACAATATCACGGTGATACAAAATAAATACCAACTGCTTTTCTTTCAGTTAACAACATAGTTTTCTCACCAAGATGGTGGAACCAAAAGAACAGCTTGTCCATATATTAAAAACCAGGAAGCTAACATGGTAGAGGACACCTTTGATTTCACACACAGCTCTAGCCTTGGACAAATTACTTAACCTCTCTGCACCTCAGCCTCTAACTGTATGACACAGAGAACATGGCTCACAGGGTGGAGTGCATTAAAAGATACGGTTATCTGTTAGTCACCTGCTCAGTGCTTAGCACAGAGTGAGAACACAATCAACTTTCCTGTTTGCCTCTTCCTTGGGAAGCAGTTTCTCCTCCACCAGATAAAGCCTCTGTTCAGACTGTGGCAATGGCCAAGTTTGGATTTACCACATCATGCTAACTCAAGAATCCCATTTGGAGAACGATGCCCAGAAAACATGGACTAGAAGGGACCTGCGAAGGAATTGCCGAACCACACTTGTAAAGAAAGAAGATAATCTCTAATAAGAAACTTCAAGAAGACTGTAATAGTCCCAAGCTTTCAAGAACCACAGAGGGCACATGGGCCTAATAAAAATCATGCCCTTGTATCATTTGCCAGTTTTCAAGCAAACAATTTTGCAATTTTGTTTGTGCTTAGGTGGCATATTCAAAACAAACAAACAAAAATTGATGGAATGTGGACTGAGCCCAAACCAGCTTTGGGAAATGCTTGTTAGCATGGATGCTAGAAACCCCGAGAAGAGAGAAAGAGTGGGAGGCAAAGGCCCTCCACCTGATCGGGAGTTTCTCTTGCCTGAAGAAGCTGGAAAGATTTGACCTCTCAGAGCGGCCCCCTGCCCCCTCTCCAGGATCACACCAGGAACAATCATGAAATGGTAGCTTATCTACTATCCGACTTCTTCCAAGGAAGGTGTTAAAACTGCAAACTGCATTGGACTCAGCTTAGACTCTTGCTTCTTTGTTTTCTGAATGACAGTTTGGGAGACAGATGCAGTTCTTACAAAGAGGGCTGTCTTTATAAACAAAAACAGAAATAGAAGGATACATTCTTTTGCCCCAAAGAAACTGCTCTGAATCCTGACTCAAGAAAGAAAGAAATGGATGAAAGAATGTGTTAGCATAGTAACAGATTTGAACTCTAAATAGCTAATTTGGTCCAATACGCATTACATAGCATAATTATAAAGAAAGTGGTAGCAGAAAAAACAAATTGTTTTGAAGGCATTTGAGGCAGTGGGACAGAAAGATTTCTTGTTCCCATCCAAATGGATTGAAATAGGAAAGAGATGGTGATAAGTTGTCTGTGTTCTGCAAAGCACATGCCATATTCATGGTCCTTCAAAATACAGTTCTGGTGAACTCTGAAAATACTCTCGTGTAGTAGGAGATGGAGAAGTAGCCCTCTGCTTCTTACCTCTAAGTGCCTCTGTTGGAGGAGCTAAGAAAGGAAGACTTAAATTTCAATCTTTTTCTTTAAACTGATGTATAATTAACATATAACACTATATTAGTTTCAGGTGTGCAACATAATTTGCTATTTGAATATATTATGAAATGATCGCCACAGAAGTGTGGTTAACATCTGTCACCTTACATAGTTACAAAAATTCCCTTTTCTTGTAATGAGGACTTTTAAGATCTACTCTCTTAGGACCTTTCAAATATGCAATATAGTATTATTAACTATAGTCATCATGCTGGATGATACATTCTCCAAATTTTAACCTCTTGATGACATAAAATACATCCATTCTACATTTGTGGTTTTAAATATGGAATGACCTCACATGTCGTTCCTTGTTACTAAGAAATGCTGTGTTAGTTACTTTCTTTTCATTTTATTATATAGCTACTAGGGAAGCTATTTCTCCCCAGGAGCCAATTCTTATTAGGTTTCTTCTCCCCAACTACCCCTCGTTCTCAACACTTTTTGTTCTCAGATAAAATGAAGACCAATGTGGTTTTTTTTCCTGTACAATTTCAGTACACTACATATTTTTTTGAAACAATTGATCATATCCTTGTAATTGTATACTTTTCTGTTAAGAGAGGATATGTATAATTATTGCTCGGCGTGTCC